GCTGCTGGTGCTGGTGCTGCTGCTGGTGTCTGTGTTGGAGGATTGGCCACTGCTGAGCCACTGCCCTTTGACTCCGTCAGGCTTGCAATTAATGTGGTAAGTTCTTGCAGTCTTTTCTCCAAGTTTTCTATTTTGACGGCGTACTCTTTTAAGGTTTCCACACACTTGCCATCGCATTGGATGGCTGGCTGCTGCTGATGCTGGGGATTTCTTGGCGTCTGGAAACGATTTGGAGTTGGCTGCACCCGTTGATCGCGCTGGCATTGGCGCCCCTTGGCCTGTGGCTGGGAATGATGGCCGCGGTGCTGGTGCTGCTGCTGGTGCTGCCGACCCAAATTGTGACCGCGCTGCTGCTGTTTTTGTTTATGTTGATGCTGCTGCTCTTCCCTTAGCTTTTGCTGGATCTTGGCCAGATGATTTTCGGCCGGATTGGCTTGCGCACCTCGGCTATACAAGGGCCTGCGGGTGTTGGGCGTTGCTGCTGCTGCTGCAGCTGGTGTTGGTGCTGCTTTGGCACCTTGTCTGCCGCTTGAATGCTGCTGTTGCTGTTGGTGTTGTGGCCGCTTCTTCTGAGATGACTGCTGTTGCTTGGGGGCGGGGATATGAGGCTGCTGTTGTTGGGAAGGACGACGACTGCTCGTCGGCTGTTGCCGTTCTGCCGCTCGTGGCTGCTGCTGCTGCTCAGCATTCCCGGACCGCAACACCCTGCTGTAGGAAGGCCTGCTATTACCTCTGGTGCCTGTGTTTGCTGTCTGCTGTTGTTGCTGGGATTGGGATTGGCGACTCGGCTGCTGAGTTTGTGGACGTTGTTGGACAGTTGGCTGCTGTGGCTGCTGTGGCTGCTGGCGTTGCTGTTGGTAATGCTGCCTTTGCTGCTCAGCGATGATCCGGTTTGCCCTTAACTGGCTGCGAGCCTTTTTGTAGGCGGGACAACCCTTGTAGCAGCTCACGTGCTTGCCGCTACAATTGGCGCATTTAGGATCCTCCTGCCTGGGTTTCCTGCATGCTGTTGTGGGGTGATCTCCTGCGCATTTCATGCACTTGTATGGCCGTCTGCAGTAGTTTTTTGTATGCCCAAACTCCTGGCACCGATGGCATTGTGCTGGATCGCGTGGCTTGGCCTGTCTCACTATGGAGACGCATTGATTGGCCAGGTTTTTAATGTCAAGAATTGCCTCATGGCCACCATCCGCCTTGGGCTGAATTTCGACCTCAAAAATATTTAGAGGCCTCCCATTAAAACGATGTTTTAATCCTCGGATAAACCTCGCAGTAAATCCGAGTCGTTCAAGCTCCTCAGAGATCCAGCTGCTGGGCGTGGTGTGGTGTAAGTGTCGCACTATTACACGATAGCCCCTTTCGCTGCGCGGCTGGTGTGTGTGCAATTGGGTGCTGTCTTCAGCTAGGGCGTTCTGAATGGCGTTGTATGTTAAAATGTCGTCGCAGTGGACTCTAAGTCCACTGTTGGCCATCGATTTCGTTGTGAATTTCCCCACATTTGGATTTGTTGTCAATTTGTTAATCAGGGGTACAATTGCAGGCACCAGGGGCAGGAAGATTGTTGGGACCTTGGTGCTGCGTAATGACTGTTGGACGGGCGTTATATTTATGCTAATGTCTGGCTGATGTTGCGGCTGATGGTTGTCCGTCTCCATCTGTTGGCTTTCAGCCTCTATCCTTTGGGGCTCCCTATGTTGGACCACCGGAACCGGAACCACACTATTTGACGGTGTGCGTATTTGCCCAGCATCTGACTCCATCTGTCGGGTCTCATGATGCAGCCTTTTCGCGAATTGGCTCTTGAACATGGGCGTGTCCAGAGTGAGGCAGGTGAAGTCATCGTCATCTGTATCCGTTTCGATCGCCGCGCATCTTCTTTTGAGCGGCGAGCGAAACGAATCTGTAGTCAGGTTATCCTTTGCTATAGGGGTAAGGGGCAGGGGCGAGGGCATTTCATTGGCCAGTAGCGGGGGAACGCTAATTAGCCATTCCTTTACCAGTTGTGTTCTGGTACTAGGCTTTGTCTGTATATTTTGTTCGTCCGCCTGAGTCAGAGTAGGCAGCAAGCATTTTCTGCTTCTGCTAGAATTATTGCGTTCAGCTGTCGTCAAACTTTGTTGCTGTTGCTGGTCATTGTTTTTCTTTATGCCGTTTACAGTTTCGGTTTTGTTATTGGCGTAGGTCAGGCTAGCTTCGTTCTTGTATGTGTTTGTGTTTTGGTTCGGCGGGAGAGAGCAAGCATCTCTCTTTTTGTCATAAGTGTGTGAGGGCAAACGCTTTGGGGCTTGATGTGACGAGCCTCCGTTTTGATTGTGCGCCGAGGGTTCGGCTGCCGAGAGAGCGCAAGCGTCGCTCTCTCTGATGCTTGTGTGAGTTGTTTGCTTGTTTTTGTTTTCGCTAATGTTTTGGCGCGAAAACATATGGGCATAACATTTGTTCTTGTTTTGTTTATGTGCACTTAAATGCTCTTTGGTAAGAGCGAAAGCGCCGCTATTTTGGGAACCCGTTGCACTTTCGCTGGGGGCTATTTTTGTCTGCGTGTTTGTACGTGTATTTGATGGCGGTTTTTCTTGTATGTTGGCGTCTGTTTTTTGTGGGATTGGCGGGTATTTTCTAACATATAAACCCCTGTCCACGAAACGACGCTCGAACTCCAGCACCGTAGCTCCCAAGGAGCTCAGGGTACTCTCTGGCGAGTCCGTCTCCAACTCAGCCAGATCCGCATCCCCCTCTGAGTCGAACATTGGTTCGAAGAGGGAAGCATTTGCGGAGGGGTTCCCTCCCAGGGGCCTGGTCGATATGACGGCAGAACTTATTTGAGTAACGCACTCACCACCCGCTTCGGCTCTTGCCGAGTTGTCCATAGCATCCATAACATCCATTTTGTTGGTCGTCAGATTTGGAGCAAGTGCGTCCATTTGGTGGCCTGGTCCAGGTACTCAGTAGCTTGCTTTTTCTTCCTCTTTCCTCAGTTGGGTTTATTGGCTTCCCTGAATTAAGGCACGATCACAGATGATTATATTGCATTATTTGCAATTATTTGGCACATATTGTTTATTTAGTTTCCATTTAATTTAATCCCGGTTTAAACATGTATTTTAATACATTTAAAGTTCCACATAAAACAACAAAACACAAGTCACTTTTTTTTTTTTTTTTTCGATGTAATTAGATGCGCGTGCACGCCTACGATGCGCACACTCGCCCGCCAGCTTTGCTACTGGCGGAGTTTATTTCCAGCTTTTCTTATTACCAGTACTTCGGCAATTTACATTTAAGCTTAACTTACAACAATGATGTGATTTTTTAAAATTGGCGGGCTGTTAACATTAACATTAGCATTACAGTAGCATTACATTAACATTAACATTAAAACATGAAACTAATGGTCTGGCAGCCCTTATGTGTCAATCACAGGATTAACGTACATAAATCAGCAGGTGGTCACAAACAGATAAGTATTGACAATATTGAACAATTATTTACATTTTAATTTAATTTAATTCTATTTTATTTCTATTTGCAGGTACTGGATCATCGTCGTCGTCTGGAGCAGAGTGGATGGCACGGTGCGCAACCGTACGGCGCTGGATGAGCGCGTGTGTAAGGTGCGGCAGGAGACGTGGACAATGCACAGCGCCGTGCAGAGTGGATGGAGCGATCGCCGTGGTCCTCCAGGTGGCCCGGGATTCGGCCAGATTTGTGTGGCGATGGTTGCCAGCAGCCATGAAGTGCAGGAAAACCACCCCTGCGTGGATTCGGATGCGCCATGTGTGCGGCGCAAGCGTGTCCAAATTGGCATTCATAGCCAACCAGCAGCCGTGATGACTCTCGTCCGCGGAGCCCTTCTGGAGGCCGGATGCCGTGGTGACGCCCATGAGAAAGGATCAGAGGAGCAACTAGGGGTGTCGCCCGGTGTCGCAAGCGTGTTTGTACACGCTTCAGGTGAGTTTTGTGCCGTTTTATATTACTCTGTGGAGGGGATAATTTTGCAAATTTTAATGTCATTTTTACATTTACCAGGTACAACGACAATGTCCACCACAGGAACATTGGACTTGCTGCGGCCGGATTGCGGCGTCCCAGTGAGCGGCGCCTTGCTGCACCAAAGTGCGGAGTCACTGTGGCGGTGTGCGCAATGTGCCGGCCGGCATCATCGTCGTTGTTGTGGTCATCGTCATCTGAGATGGATTGGACATCGGTGATGATTTGGACGTCGTCGTCGTCGTCATCTGAGATGATTAGGACGTCGTCGTCGTCGTCGTCGTCGACCACCCGTTCAAGGCGCCGTCGGACTTGCTCCAGTCCGTGGTCCAGAAGTGCCTCTTGCGGATTGCGTCGATGGCTGTCGTCCAGGGTGCGTGAGCTGCTGCTTGCAGCCCGTGTCTGGCAACGATGATGTGACGTCTGCCGGTTGCTGCTCGCCAGAATTTGCCGTGTCTGCTGCTGAGTCCGCTGCTGCGTCTGCTGCTGCATCTGTTGTTGTGTCTGCTGCTGAGTCCGCTGCTGCGTCTGCTGCTGGGTCCGCTGCTGCGTCTGCTGCTGCATCTGCTGCTGAGTCTGCTGCTGCGTCTGCTGCTGAGTCTGCTGCTGCGTCTGCTGCTGCGTCGCTGGATCGGGATCCCCCTCGTAATCTGGCAGGATTATCCTTTGGACAGAAAGTGGCTGGCCAAAGATAAGAGCCACTATTCTTTCTCGGGGAGTTTGGCCGCTGAGGTATCGTTTTCTGAAGCAATTTATCATCGATTCGTTGAACCTTTCGGGGTTCGGATTGATGATATTTTGTTGTTGGATTCTTCTTAATTGCCTGGCGTCTGATTCCTCCTGTCTCTTTCTTTTCAGCTCCTCCTCTTCGAGACGGACCAGCGTTGGAAGCGATTCCTCGGAGATGGCCGGATCTGGATGTTGATGATGATGGCTGCTCCGATCCTGATTTTGAGGCTGCAGCGGGCGGAAGTGTTGGAGCAGCTGTTGCAGATAGCGTGGCCTCTGCAATCGCTGTGGTTCATACGGCTGCAGTAATAGTTTCCGAGCCTCCGGATTGACATGGCAAGCCAAGGAGTTGGCGAAGCGCCCACTTGCCGCATGGAACACTTCGTCGATTGTGTCTAGATTGTGAGTCTGTCTTATGGCATCGTTCCTGGTGAACCTTGTCGCCTTCATTGCCCGTCTAATAATTTTATTTTGTAGGCTTTGCACCCGTCGCAGCTGGGAATCGGATGTAAGTGCGCCCCAAACCGGAAGACCATATTGCCAAATGGGCATGATGAGCTGCTTGATGACTATAGCCTTGGTTTCGCTTGGCAGCCGGCTTTTTGGGCCAGCAAGCCAGTCCAGTTTGGCCGCTCTTGATCGGAGTTTTGTGCAGATCCTCGTGATGTGTGAGCTTAGGGTGAGTTTTTTGTCCAATTTTATGCCCAGATATGTGTGTGATTTGGCAAGTGGCACAGCCTGTCCATTTATAGTCGGCGTTTGCCTTAAGTCCGTTGATCTAATTGTCCTCAGTGTGAATAATACATGTCCGGTTTTTTTCGCATTTATGTTAATGCACCACTTCTTGGCCCATATAGAGAAGTGAGTCAGGTATCTTTGGATATATTTGACTGCCACATTTGGGATTGCAGATGCGCTCATTATCACCGTGTCGTCGGCATACGTGGACAGCAGCATTGATTCCCGTTCTGGATGGAAGCCAGTGCTGTCCTGGATGAGGTGAGGCATTGGCATGTCCGAGGCATAGATTGTGTATAGGATTGGCCCAAGTACACTACCCTGCGGGACTCCAGCTGATATTTTTCCGATCCTTGACAGTTCCTCGTCTCCGCAGCTCACACAAAAAGTGCGTTCAGCCAGGTAGCTCTCCAGAATGCAGTACAAATTTAAAGGCAGCAGCTTCATCAACTTGTACAGCAGCCCTTCATGCCATACTCGGTCGAAAGCTTCGGAAATGTCCAGGAAAATTGCCGAGCAAACTTGTTTTTTCTCATACGCCTTGAGGATGTATTGAGTGACTCGAGCCAGCTGCTGTTCAGTGCCATGCTCCCGCCGAAATCCAAATTGGTAATTGGGTACTGCCTTGGCAAAATTCTCCACCTCAAACAGTCTCGCCATCAGCAATTTTTCAAAGATCTTTGAAAGGCCAGATAATAGACTGATTGGCCGGTAGGAACACATGTCTGCTGTGTTTTTGCCCGGTTTTAGAATCATTTTAATCTGGGCATGTTTCCACTGACTTGGAAAGTGGCCCAGCCTGAAAATGGAGTTATATATTAGTATTAAATATAATAGCGCTTTTTTTGGCAAATTTTTAATCAGTTTGTTATTGATTTTGTCTCCCCCAGGTGATTTGGACAGCTCCAATGCATCCACAATCTGCATCAGCTCAGGCAGTGTGACTGGTCTGAAGGGAATCCTGGTTTCCTGGTCCGGTTGTAGCTGCTTCTGCCGTTTTGACTGCTCACGCTCTCTATTGATTGCGGCCCGCTCTTCATCTGAATTGGACAGTATCGGGCTGAATCTCTCCTCCAGGTGAGTAGCAAAGGCATCGGCTGTCTCAGCTGTTGACTTTGTCCACGAGACACTTGCCTTGCCTCCAGTCATAGTTGGCAGCCTCAGTGGCCAGTTTGGCTGCGGCTGTCTTTTGATTGTGCTGGTCAATTTCCAAAGTTTCTGCATTTGATAGCGGTCTTTGTTGTCAATCCCTGTGAACAGTTTGTTGATGTTTTTGTTTTTCAGGATTGTGAGCCCCTTGTTAAGACGATTTTGCGCCGCCCTGTAGTTTCGTCTGGCTTCGATGGTGCGGGTTGCCAGCCAGATCCTCTTGCACTGCTGTTTGATGGAGAGCAGCTCGCTTGTAGCCTCGTCCAGCTTAAGGTGATGGTGCCGGTGATGTTGCTGTGACCGCTGCTGATGATGATGCTGACGCTGCTGTGGCCATCTTCGATGAGTGTTTGGATGCTGCTGTTGATGTTGTGTTGTTGCTGCTGCTGCTGCTACCCGTATATTGTTCAAAAACAAGTCAACGACGTCATCAATGTCCTGCGCTATCCTAATCTCGGTGTTGAGATTGATCAACCGTTCCAGCGACTTTTGGAACAGGCTGATATTGGCACGTGCTGGGAGCAGATGTTTCCTGACTGTGGGCGTAGGATGTCTACGTCCACCGCTGCCGATCGTCAACTCCACCCTGAGCAGCAAGTGATCAGAGTCCAAATCCGAGCTTGAACGGATACTCAGGTGAGTGTCGTTGATTCCTTTGTAGATTCCAAAGTCAATCGCTGATGGTCTCTTTTTTTTATCGTAGGGATAGTGTGTGGCACCACCGGTGGCCAGCAAATTGCAGCCGTTGTTGGTGTGTACAGCCTCCATCAGTGCTTTCCCTCTGGCGCATCCACGGGCATTTCCCCACCACATATGCTTCGCGTTCCAGTCACCGCATACAAGGAAGCCGGATGCTGTTTCTTCGACGCAGAGTTCTTCAAAATGTCTTATCAATCCAGTAAAATGGGCAGGCGCCCACTTTAATACAGGCGGACAGTGGATCGGCGCAAAAATAATTCCCTTTTTATTTTCCTTTTCAGTGAAGACGATGACAGGTGCACTCTGGATGAATGGCTTTGAAATTGGCTGCAGAGCAGAGTGGGTGACATCGTCCCGGACCAGGATGGCTACTCCCCCTCTGCGATCGTTTGCCGGATTTTGTGCAGTGTAAGTGTGGAATCCGCTCACAGAGACGGCCCTTGTGCGTGTTTCGATGACCATCATTAATTGTATTTTTTCCCTTTTCAGGAAAACTTCGACCTCGTTCAACTTGTTTGTCACACCACACGCGTTCCAGAAGGCAATTTTAAAAGTGTTGCCGTTCTGGCTGACGCTGTGGGTGGAAATAGTCTGTACTGGATTGACTTTTTGGTTTGACAGGCCGTTCGGGACTGGACTAAACATAAAAGGCATCATTGGCGGAGGACAGGGCCATGTCCAAAGAGTTTGGTGAACTGCTATTTGTTGTTTTGCTTGTCTTATTTGTATTGATGTTTATTAATTTAACTATTGCAGAAAATAGACTATCGATTTTGGCCTCAAGTCTTGAGAGAAATTCTGCATTTTCTTTATGGGCATGGGACTGGAAATTTGCAGGGAGAGTTTTTTGCTGTTCTTGTTGCTGCTGGTGGTGGTGCTGCTGCTGCTCATCCCTCAACTTCTGTTGGAACTTGGCCAAATGATTTTCGGCCGGATTGGCTTGAGCACCTCGGCTATACAAGGGCCTGCGGGTGTTGGGCGTTGCTGCTGCTATTGGAGTTGGTGCTGCTTTGGCCCCTTGTACAACTCTTGCGCGCTGCTGCCGCTGATGCTGCTGCTGCTGTGGCCGCTTCCTTTGTGATGGCTGTTGCTTCTCAACAGTACGGACATATGGCTGCTGCTGTTGCTGTGGTCGGCGATGCTGCTGTTGGTGATTGTCCGCTCGTGGCTGTTGCTGCTGCTGCTGCTGCTCCTGCTCAGTAATTCCGCTACGTACTACCCGGCTGTACGACGGCCTGCCGCTGCCGCTGATTGTTGCTGGCTGCTGTTGTTGTTGTTGGCGGCCCTGTCGTTGCGTCTGCTGTGACTGCTGCTGATGATGCTGCTGCTGCTGCTGCGTACGCTGGTGTTTGTTGTGTTTCTGTTGTGGGCGTTGCTGCTCGGTTTGCTGCTGTGGCTGCTGGCGTTGCTGTTGATATTGCTGCTCACCGATGAGCCGGTTTGCCCTTAACTGGCTGCGAGCCTTTTTGTAGGCGGCACATTCTTGTAGCAGCTCACGTGCTTGCCGCTTTTTTTTTTTTTTTTTTCGCTTTTTTGGATTTTTCCAAATTATATACCCGCTTTGGGTTGAGGGCTCTCAGTGCTCCATACAGGGGAGGAACTGAGAGGCTGGGGTGTGAGCCGCCAGCAACCAAGCGCGTTGCTTTATTAATTTCTCTTTGTGGGCAGTATATGTCTTAATTTAGTAGATGTACATTTTTGTTTGTTTTTACAATTTAACTTTGAACGGCACTCAAACACACTAGTACATTTAATGGCACAATAATTTACAAACATATAAACTGCAGCAACGTTAAACACTTGTAACCTCTTTTTACACTCAGCAGGGGGGGGGGCAAGGGAAAAAGAAAACGAGAGAGAGATAAACTTTTCGGCACTTTGACGGAGGGACTAAACCACGAACACGACTCGACTCCACAACGTTCACGACACGACTTTTTCTCGTTTGGACAGAGATCCAGACTCGAGACTCGATTCGATGGTGGTGGTGCTGCTGCTGCTCATCCCTCAACTTCTGTTGGAACTTGGCCAAATGATTTTCGGCCGGATTGGCTTGAGCACCTCGGCTATACAAGGGCCTGCGGGTGTTGGGCGTTGCTGCTGCTATTGGAGTTGGTGCTGCTTTGGCCCCTTGTACAACTCTTGCGCGCTGCTGCCGCTGATGCTGCTGCTGCTGTGGCCGCTTCCTTTGTGATGGCTGTTGCTTCTCAACAGTACGGACATATGGCTGCTGCTGTTGCTGTGGTCGGCGATGCTGCTGTTGGTGATTGTCCGCTCGTGGCTGTTGCTGCTGCTGCTGCTGCTCCTGCTCAGTAATTCCGCTACGTACTACCCGGCTGTACGACGGCCTGCCGCTGCCGCTGATTGTTGCTGGCTGCTGTTGTTGTTGTTGGCGGCCCTGTCGTTGCGTCTGCTGTGACTGCTGCTGATGATGCTGCTGCTGCTGCTGCGTACGCTGGTGTTTGTTGTGTTTCTGTTGTGGGCGTTGCTGCTCGGTTTGCTGCTGTGGCTGCTGGCGTTGCTGTTGATATTGCTGCTCACCGATGAGCCGGTTTGCCCTTAACTGGCTGCGAGCCTTTTTGTAGGCGGCACATTCTTGTAGCAGCTCACGTGCTTGCCGCTTTTTTTTTTTTTTTTTCGCTTTTTTGGATTTTTCCAAATTATATACCCGCTTTGGGTTGAGGGCTCTCAGTGCTCCATACAGGGGAGGAACTGAGAGGCTGGGGTGTGAGCCGCCAGCAACCAAGCGCGTTGCTTTATTAATTTCTCTTTGTGGGCAGTATATGTCTTAATTTAGTAGATGTACATTTTTGTTTGTTTTTACAATTTAACTTTGAACGGCACTCAAACACACTAGTACATTTAATGGCACAATAATTTACAAACATATAAACTGCAGCAACGTTAAACACTTGTAACCTCTTTTTACACTCAGCAGGGGGGGGGGCAAGGGAAAAAGAAAACGAGAGAGAGATAAACTTTTCGGCACTTTGACGGAGGGACTAAACCACGAACACGACTCGACTCCACAACGTTCACGACACGACTTTTTCTCGTTTGGACAGAGATCCAGACTCGAGACTCGATTCCACGATCGGGGCAAAAGGCTCCAAAAGTATGAATTGTCAAGAGTCAAGTGTGTGTGTGTGCGGTGAGAGTCAAGAAAGTAAAGTAAAGTGGGGCCACGCTCAAAAGTATGCTGTCCCCTCTTTGTAATTTTCCCTAACTTAAAATTTGATTTGATCCCCTGTGAGTTTGTCAACTTGATGTTTTGTTGGTTGTTGGTCTTCAGTCCCCTCTACTACCCTTGCCGCCTGCTGAGGGCAGACGACTAGGAATGTATCATGTACATGTGGGCGGGCAGTTTATAGGGAACGTAGTGGATATATGCGAAGACTTGCAAATTTGGCTCAATTTAGGCCGTAGTGGTGGGGTGTGGCGGCAACAGGTGCTGATTTGAAAGTCGATTACGATACCGATAATCAATTGTCAGCACCGTTGCCGCCGAAGTTTTATCACAGATTGTATTAATTTTTTTAGTGGGGTGTCGGAGAACCGCACTAATTACGATAGTAACAATAACGGGGGGGAAGAAGGGGTTAAAGAAATGAGATCGAAATGTGCGGAAATGTGCAGTGTTGCAACACGTAGTCAGTTGTGGAAATAAATAAAGAGAAAAGGTAAACAATGCAGGTGCTTTGCGTGGAATACAGAAGGAAATACACTAAATAAGAAGAGACAAGCACTTGCAGAAATAACAATTCAGGTAAGTAGTAGACTGGAGTGGAGACGACGGAAAAACAGGTAATAAAAGAGATACTACACTGGAACAAAGACGAGACAAAACAGGTACAATTGATTTACGTTTACAATATTACAATAAACATAACAATTTAAAATAATGTCTATATCTTTTACTATAATTACAGGGAAGACAAGAAGCATCGGCCGGCATAGCAAAACACAATGCTTGTAAAGACATTGCGTTGCATACCGGCCGACCCCGTCGTCCCCCCTGGTCGTCGAAATTGGCGTCATCCGGAGTCGTCAGTCGTTGCGGCTGTGGCTGCCCTCTTGGAGGACCAGTGGCACTGGTCCGGCCACCAGCTGGGAGCCAGGATTGACGGCACACATATTACTGTGGCGACACGGGTCCGGCCGCCAAAGTGAAATGGGTGTGAGTGTGTGTGTGCGTCGGCAATTGTGGCCCTGATGTAGAGCGAGTGGCACTGGTCCGGCCACCAGCTGTGGGCAAAGGTAAACAATGACACACATAACTCGAACGGCACAGGTCCGGCCGCCCAAGTGTAATGGATGTTTGTGTGTGTGTGTGTCTGAATGGCAGGCGGTAAGTATTTTGAGCGCCCTTTTTAATCGTATGTGTGGCTGGTGGATTTTTCCTTTTCCAGGACCATAAGGCACTCTGAATGTCACGGCACCTGGTTCCAGCAACCAGATGAGGGCAATGGCGGAGAACGACACACCTACTCGAACGGCACAGGTCCGGC